CTAGCTGGGTGCTAACTCCCCTTGCCTTCTCCCGTGAGCTGGCCCGTCCTTGCTCGCTCACAGGTTTGTAGTTCTCGCGGTGAGTGGGAGACACGGACAACACAGTGACAGATATGGGACGGTGTTTGGATCTTGTGGTAATTTATTAGCCAATACCGGAGCGCGTGAAACTGCATTATGTGTCAAACTCAAGGATAAACTCTCAATAGTACCAAGTAATATGATTATTTTGGGTTTTATGGCCGCAGTCAATGTCCAAAAATGGTCAGTGAACCAAACGAAGACCACACTGGAAGAAGACGGCAGTTTTTGCTTTTGTAGTGTGTCACTGACCTTGAAGGAACACAAATTATGGCTGCTGTAAAAGGGATGATTTCACTCAGCCATTGGACCATGAATTTTATTGCCTATCGTACCAAGTCTAATAAGAGCCGTGGAACACGGGGGAATCGGTTGTTGCTTGTTCCAATTCGCAGGTTTTATGTTGTACTTGGATTTAGCAGTACAGCCTATATGAAATGGGGGTGGGAATGGGCAAGTGTATACAGTTCAACATCTTTCCCAACATTTATCAAAATATAAACTTTTTTTTACACCATTGGGAAATATATTACTTAAAATGTACTCGAATAACATTTTCTGGTTACAAATAATACAGAAAAAAATACTTTTAATTAAGAAGTTAAGAACCTTAAATATACTTAACTTTACTAAAATCAAAATATGAAAGATTGTAAAAGACAATTTTTTTGAATTGCATCTTCACACAAACGTACGTGGGTAACCTTGGGTACATGTCTGTTTAAACCCCCAAAATGGCCTATTATGATCACGCTGCAGAATTCCAGACTTTCCACGTCCCCTCTCACTGGATCTGAATGAACCCCAAACTTGGACGTGACCCAAGGTTTTTTTAATTTGTTCATTTTGAACATCCGGTAAAGTCCTTCAGCCTTGGCAATGTGGCCCGTCCTATAACTAAAGGGGGTCACAGTCTTCCCCCACCCCTACCCTCACCCCACCTCCGCCACCCGTCTGATTACCGACGCGTGGACTTGGGACTGAACTAAGTGGGGGACACCAAGGCCCATAATTGGTACTTACAAATCGGAAGTGAGCCCAGAGCCTGGTGAACGACTTACTGGTTCTATTGTGGCGCAATTCAAGGTTATTTTGTCCGTTAATGGCCTCCTTATACAGGACACTTCTTCACCTTAGCGTTCATTACCCTTGTGTCAACTCGGTAATATGATGGCGGAAACATCCGGAATTTTGACAGTTGCAGGACATGTCACTCATAATTAGTTTCTTGGCTTGGATTGTCGCAGTTTTTTTCTTCTCATTTTCAACTGAAATCACAGAAACGTTCAACGTTTTCAACCTCATTATTTCCATATTTTTATCAGTATGTCAAACTGAGGGATAAGTCATAATGAATAGCAGATGAGTATGCTCTTCTACTCATGTGAAAAACCAATTACTCGAAAGCCTCGTTTTGTTCGATGTGGTCACGATCACCTTTTCATTTCATCACGCAAGCCAATTACACTGCAGCCTTTTTCCAAATTAGGTTCCGTCTCCGGGTTCGTCTCAAGGAGATTTGGGGGCTCCGGCTCAATCTCCCGTTTCAAGAACATCACAAGTCAATGGTAGCTATAGAGTTGTTTTCTATTTGGTGAGGACACTTAATTATTCTTCAGGAGTCAAAGGTAAGCAGGAGTCATAGACAAAACCGAGATTTTGAAAATTCTAAGTTATAGAGGGACTCTTAACACTACTTTCCTGATCGGTGTGGTTTTGTCATTTTGTCTGCATGCTTTTGTCATTACAACATATCACTGTCACAACAAGCAGGCCAAGGGTTCCCCACGTGTGACAGATAGGTGTCACAAAGCAATCGAAGGCTGGTGTCGGGCCCCGCGAGTTTGAAATTCAAGATATCTCTTCACATTTCACCGTGAGGATTCGTCAAGATGGCGGGCTCTGGGGCTTTTGATCTTCCGTGTTCGCCTAGCGCGGAATGTCACACCTCTCCTCCGCCTTTTGCGGCCCGGCTGCGAAGATCACGTTCCCTGAGACCAAGTGCTTAGGCTTTAAAGTCGAACTCATCACTGAGTTTTTTGACCAGGTTTTATATAGAAATGATCTAAAACACAGAAACAAGCAACTGCGTGTTTTGAACTTCGCAGCAATGACAGCCGTTCCAGTCAGTTTTTCCACATAAATCTTTATCATCACGATTGAAATAAGAATGCGTGCAAACTCGTGTAATAACCGGTCACTTTTTGAAGAACAGTGTATATACACTGCATTTTTATTGGCAAAGATATTTTTTTGTTTTGTTCAAACGATTCTTTTAGCAGATTTACTCTGGCGTTAGAATCATCTTACAAAAAAATCATTCCGCTTTAAACAATGAAAATGATATAGGGGAATGACGTAAATGATTCGGAGTAGCCTCCGAAAAAAAAATCTGGTTTTATGCACGCATAACCATTAACATGCTAGTTAATACGGTCGTTTCACAATAGTGCGCCTCCAAGAGTTTGCAACGCATTGGCCAATTACAATGCGCAAAATCGGTCGACCTAATGCGCGTTTGGAAAAGGTCGACTGATTTCGCGCATTGTGATTGGCCAACGCGTTGCAAACTCTTGGAGGCGCACTATTGTGAATCGCCCGTATTGAAACGCATGCGCAGCAATAAAAATAGGACTGCTTAAACTACAATAGAGTTCGTAAAAGGTAATGGAAGACTAGCATTGTATAATGCACTCGAAGATTAGTGCAACACCGCCAGATACCCTAGTACCGTAGGTGAACTCGCAATATATCCTCATAAATTTGCACGGGAGGATTATGAACGGGACCCAGTCGACTGCCGACTATATATCACCCAGTTGGCGTAGACACTTTGTCCACAAAGGCCGGCCATTTCAAATACTTTGTAATTACAGCGATACCAAGGCGATGAAGACCTTGTTCTCTTTCCCAGAGTGCGAGTTGATTTATCAATCGGCAGGTGTTGCAGCAAGTTATGGTATAATGTTCGTGGATTACAATTTGGTATTTGGATCAAGAGGTCGAGGTTGAATACAATATAGCATGCACGGTTTTATGGCACAAGAATCGCTGGGTGGTATGTATCGTTTGGAAACGGTTCATGTTTTATAGCCATAGGCGGTTCTTAATAACATGGGTGAATTTTGTGGGCGTGGTGTACTTACTCAAGCCCCAATTCCATGCAAGTTCATTATTTTAAGGTATTGTTTGTGGGGTCAATCCTCAAACACTGTCACCGCAAAATCTTTTGTCTCCCACTCCACTCACAGGTTATGAAAAGTCAGGAATTATCTTAAATAGTCAGAAAGCCACTACAATCTTTTCTCTTAAAGGTCCCAGAACATCGTGTTGAAGGAACTGCCACTTTGAAATGTAATATGCAACGGTAGTTTAGGTTCTGCGAATTGGAGACGCACACCTTTAACGCAAGACGAGTGTGGAAGCGGCTCGAATTCATCTCATCGGATTTGTGCACGGCCTGGTGAGGGCGCTCGTTACACCGTAGCAGAAAGTTTTCAGTGAGTGAAGTTCACCATTAGGTGTCTCGGTATGCGCAATTTGGCCGCTATAGCGGGCACAATTCACTCTGGGCTCAGAAGTTCCGATGACGTCAGAATAGCCTTTTGTGTACTTGTATCTGTTTCCCCTGAGTTGTCGCAGGTGATAGTATGTGATTGTGTGCAGACGCTCCACCGCGGAAATGTTGTTATATCATGCTATAATATAAAGTGCTCGCCCTGAATGTGTTTTCAATAGCGCTTACCGCAAAATATGACAAGTTCATTGGCCAAAGTGATGAGCAAAATACGACGCCTATTAGACTTGTGTGTAAGTCGAGCTAGTGGTTGCTAATTGTTTCAGCTGCAAGGAATTGCGAGCGCAAGTTACATCAGGCACAAGTTTACCATTCGTTGGTGATAGACGTGTCTCGCGCATGGACTGGTTGATTATACGACTCATATCAAGTCTAGTCTGACGGTAGATGTCAGGGCATAGTCAAGGACCAACAATCAACGAGTGTTACTGCTGTAGGAGTTGTAAACTTCTAAATTGGAACAGTCATATAAGTAGGACAAAACCATGTACGATGTGAGATGTTTGCCAGCGAACAATGTATCAGGGGAGAAGCAGCGGTGAGTCCCAGGGGCTAACACGGCGGAAGGGTGTCATTCATGCGCGCTGCACCTCGTGGGAAAATGGGACTATGTTGCCGTCATGTTGTCAAAAGTGATCTCCCAGAACCGGCCCTGGGTTGGCGGGAAATTGTACAAAACACCTTGTGATGGTTCTCGGTATGAACCTGTCCCAGTTGCTGTTGCTACGCGTATTTCAGCACATGTGCTTCATGAATATTCAAATCTTCTTGCACCGGTGAAGGTTTAAGTGAACCCGCCCCAGATCGTCCCGATTAGTACTTTTGAAATGTTAGACAAATTCAGGATTCCAACTGCTCTTGCAGACATCGAAATTTCACGATTTTCTTTCTTCGAAATAAACTATCCGCCGTACGAATGCAAAATCGTAAAGGGTACCAATGAAATTCGACCAAAGATTACAAATATACGAAAATGGACTGCACCATGTTTTACAGTGTTTTTATACCCCAGCTTTTGCGCGAACAGTATCCCAAACTTCTCTGTGATTACATGACAAAATTATGATTGTAAAATTTGTTAAGATTACGCCACAGACTTTGTTACTCTTATCTTTACGTTTACCCCAAAGCGAAGTCGGTAAATCTTGCTGTGAGCATGCGCAGTTGGAATACCGAACTACATTATTTAAATTGCACTACAAGCGTCACGATCCTAAGTCGGCGTGTACTGTATACCCCTTATAATGCTACACAGACATTTCTTGGGGAGACATTTGTAAACAAACAAACAAACAAACAAACAAACAGAGCGACATTCGAGGAGCGTTCTTATATTTCCCAAATCAATTTATTTACAAACAAATCACTGGAAGCCTTATAAATCAGGTAGCAGAAGAGCAATTGACATGATCAACCTTGGACCCAGTATGCAAGGTTCATCACTACTAGGACTAGAGAAACTTAATATGCATGCAATTTGCATACTATTTGCATAATGTATGAATAAAAATACATTAAAGGAAGTCCATGGATGTCTAAAGAATTTAACTCGTGCCTCTTGAATGATCTCAGACTGTTGTGTACAGTGAAGTACGTACAATAATGAAACAGCCACTACAACTATCTCATGGCCTACGAAATCAGGGTCAAGGGTCACAGTGGTACAGTATAATATGCCGTGAAAGTCATTTATTACACACATAAAAGAGATCATTGATTTTTAACAGGCAAAGATTGAACTCGCTATTTGTCGACAACAAAATCATTTTCAAGAATCGGCGGAATTAACAGGTATTATCTAAAGATCCCTACAAAATCTACTTCAATTTGCATGAAGACTGAACTAACTACTTTTAGGAGTACCATCGAAGTCCAGTTTTATAAAGATACGAGACTGAAACAATTCTTCTAAGAAAAACAGCCGAATTAAGAGTTTCTTGGCTTTTTCGTCTGCTCAAGCTTCATAAAATTGGACGTCTGGTTAAAGAAAGATGGCAGGCAGGACTGTTTGGCTTTTGCCGCGTACGCAATACGCATGGCGCAGTAGAAAGTTCAAACTGGGAATTGTAAAAGTTAAGATTGTCAAATTCCACGTGGAATTCGTTCGCCGTTGTTTTGGTATTGGCGTTAGGACTTTTAAAAGGGCCAATCAGCGCCCCTTGTTGGTAATGATATGCACGCAATGGAAATTAAGTAACGCACAGAAGGCTGACAGGCTTAGGCAAATAAGGATTGAAGCTGTATGCCAGTCAGCGATTGCTAGGATTGACGAGTGATGCCTAAAATGTAAGACAGGGTCTCGGTAGGGTGCATTTTCAAGAGGAAAATGGTCATTTTTTCTCAAGTCATTTTCTGAAAGACTCCAAGTGGAAAGAATAACCCCCTAAATCAAAACACAAAATGTATTTTGGGGTCAGGAATTATTATAATTTTTTTTTGGTCACAGGGTTAAGGTGCTATATTTGATCTAAATCTCCTATAATTAGATCACAACTCTATTTCTACGATATCGGTTAACACAACTACAATGTGCTCTATGAAACAAGTTCATCTCAGTAAGACAAGAATTTTGCAACATTTCGAAACACTGTTGTGTTTAATTTCACAAACCATTATTGTCATCTTTGTAAAACTGTAGCTGAATGAAGTAGGTGGTTCTTGAGAAATCTATTAATTCGCATTCTCATTGCTTTATTTTAGCCAAATAATTTGACGATGATCCCTTGAACAAGTCGAAACTGATTCCCCAGGATAGTTCGAATACCTCGAAGAGAGTTCGTTGACCCCTAGGATGAACACAGATTCTAACTAACTACGCTACTCTGGGACTATTCGAATACATCGATTATCTACTTTCGCCGGTTGAAGTCGAATAGTCGATAATAACCCCCTCCCCCCCCCCCCAAAAAAAAGCAACAATACAGCCGTGGACTTATTGTCCACTTTCGTGATAGGTAGAAAACAGATAGACAGAACCTCAGTGTTAACAGTTAAAAAGTCACAACTTATAAACATCAAGACAAACTCGGTTCTTAAATAGAAAAAAAGTACATTGTTTTTGTTTCAACAATACGCACGAAGATTTTTTTAAAAACAGCATAAAAAGTGGCTTCAAACGCTTTATTGCATGGCGAGCAGAAATCGCAGTAGGCATGCCATCTGTGGAAAAAAACTATCCTTCAAATATTCTTTAAAATGTTTTTTGTTTATAAATTATTGCTGAACAGACACTGTACAAGTCCATAGAGAAAACACTATATACGAGGGGAAACCAGTCCAATTTGCATAGTCTTTCCCTTGCAATCTCGTCCAGTGCATCTTGCATGGCCCCGGCGGTAAGTACAGTCCGAAACTTTCAATCATGAATTACCGTTGTCCAAGCGCGGAGGGTAAGCATGAATCCAATTTGCGGCAGAGTGAGCTAGGTCCAGTTTGCGAAACGTCCGCACCCATTTGGTGTTTGCAGACCAAGTGTACAGGTGAACACGTCTAACAAATTCCAACTTGGGTGAGATTCGAAGTTGGCAATAAGCCGTGGGCGGTTAACAGCTAAATCATTGTCGGGTGGAAGTCTGGCACCACAGTGAGTGACCTTCCGCTAAATCATGGAGTCTGTAATCCTGATGTTTCATTGCATTGCCGATCCTCAATTCCAATTGTACACATGGTTTACAGTACCGCGCTCTCACATTAGAAATGTTTGAAACAGTGACCACTTGTCCTCGTCAAGAAGTTGACGTTATTGGCCACTTTCCAAGGACATTTCATACCTCTCCTCCATCGGTTTTGGAAGTCCTTTATACCAGTCTTGTCCCCGCCTCTTCCCTCTGTCGTACACCAGGTTTATAAGTCGCAAGTCACTGTTCATCCCATGCAGCTGCAGGAGTCCAAAGACGGACCAGAAAAAGTGAGTTGTTGAGCTCAGACACTCTCCCTCCTTTGTCGGCCCGTCGTGAAACAGTTGATCGGCGTTGTCTTTAAGTTATGTCCGTCATCTGTGAACAAAACAGGTACAGAAACATTCAGTAAATCTGTGAAATGAAGCAAATGTCATCAAAAGAACTCCAAAATGTAGTAGTTGGCTCTGAAGCCGAGGGCCTAGTGCTGTCATTTGTTGAGAGGGTTGAAAAGAGAAAAGGTCCTCAATTCATACAATGGCTTAGCACTGAGAGCCACGGTTTCAGTGCCAATTTGGGTTTCCTCTATTGCAGATTTATAATTGCACCTTATTATTGGACTTGATCGCCACGAAATCAAAAGGCGTGCATTCGCCTCATTACCTTTGACGCTTATTCGCGGGAGAGATTCAATTACTTTTGAGTCAAGCACAAGTGAATTATGACCAGCGAAGTCCCGAGTCAGTGCACAAATCAGATCAGACGTAACAGGGCGTGAACAATGATGGAGGAATGACATTGTCAGAATCGATTAGAACGGCTTGTCACTTGTCTCGAGTCTGGATGACTTGTGATTGACTTGTGATGACTTGTGATTGACTTGTGATTGACTTGTGATTGACTTGTAATTGAGTACAACCCTGATTGGGTCAACCTCGGAATCAGGGCAATTTCCGGAAGAGAGGAGGGGAGTTTTTAGTAACCCACCCCTCAGGGATGTAGTCAAGCCCATCGAGTCCCTGCAGGTCCATCACAAGTCCTCCGGTCTCAGTAAGGCATTTGCGAGTGACTTATGCCCTTTGGGATTTAATTTGAAAAATTTCTGATACACTGACTTGCTCAGAATGCTTGGCACATTTTAACTTTGAATTCTCCAGACCCAAGATAATGTTGCTAATCACATGATTCGGGGCAAGCTCTTGCATAGTTACGTAACAGACGCTCAGCACCAATACATTGTTCGCAATGGGTGAGAATGGCACAAAGACACCAGACCATTTCGGAGCTGGGGGTTGCTAGCATAAGGCTTGTCCCGAATCACGTGATATAGTAACAGTCTCTTTGGTCGGGAGAATGCAAAGTTAAAACGTGCAAAAAAGCATTGGATTAAGTCAGCGTTGTAGATTTTATTCAAATTTAGCTCGCAAATAGCTTATTTCACTCGCAAGCTATTTAAATGGCTTTGACAAAGGCATTCCTTTGTTATTGTTCAGCTTCTTTTACTTGTGACTGGACTTGTGATTTACTTGTGACTGAACTTGTGATGGACTCACTGCATCCCTGCCACCCTTTCAAGAATTTATTGAATGCATTCAAAACTGAAATAATTCCGATTTTCATTTTCTGTGTTATAATTTAGGAGCTATAGTACTTTGCCTGTGTCGTGTATTCCGTACCGTGTTACTGATATTATGTATTTTTTTACAATGATTTAAGAGTTTCAGTGGGGTCAGTTCCGAATAGCAAAAACCCGAAGTAATAACGATGAACTACTTCATGCCTTACATGTCTAAAGACACTCAATACGTTTTATATCACTCATAAGGAAGTTCACACTAACAAGATGTGATGTCAAAGTGTGATGTCACGCCCCTCTCCACCCTAAGAAGTACCCTTCTTATCTTCCAGTACCCGTCCACCATCGAATCACAAAAACCAGAAATAAATCACGGTATTTTCCAGACTGAGTGAGTAAATCAAACCAGAGGAAATCTCACCGGAGACTTCAACTCATTTCCTTTACCCTTTCTTTAGAAAAAACAACCAGGACTTTACCTATTTTTTGAAAAACCATTTTGTAATTTACGACCATGACGCGATTTCAGAGTTGTACAGGAAAGGGGCGTGATGTTGACCAGGCGTGTGTGTAGTCAGCGTGGACTCAAAACAACGATTGCATGGGTTGTATCAATTCAAAACCTAAGTAACTGCGAACTATTTTCATATTTATATACATGTACTTTGACTACTTTCTGGGCACAGATTCCAAATCCTAGCGATTTTAACGCACAAGTCGGGAAGAAATTTTCCAGCATTTCCATCAACAAATCCTGACCGCATTCCAAAATTAAGATATAATGTTAATTATCACTGAAACTACTTGTGTCGTTTAACTCTACCATGGAAAATAACCGGGTCACCCCCCCCGTTCCAATCCAATGGAACCGCCCCTCGACAGACTTAATAGAAAATGTAAGCGACGCGGTACGTGATTGGCCCACGCGCGCCCGGCTGGAGAGTTGATTGATGACTGAACCAATAGCTAATCAGGTTATAAATCGGCAGAAGAAAACCAATTACCCTCTGACCTCCCGTAATGCGCGGCAGTTATCACAAATAAAAGGGGAACCGTCTTTCGAAAGGGCAATAAATTTCCAGCGTTCGCTTCGTCGGGAGAGACAAAAAGTACGCTGACTTTGAACTGGGTCCCTCATGAGAACTTTCCCCAATCTGCGGCCTCATTTGGAAAGGGGATGAAAACATACCGTTCAATAAACCAACAGGAACAGGTAAATTGCAACGAACCGCGGGGAATTCTGAAATAATTTGCGAAATATCAATTTTGCGAGGAAAAGCACACAGCGTCCCAGCTCAAAGACTTTTGTCACATGGTCGGCGGTGCTTTTTAATGTAACCCGTAAATCACGTTGTTGCGGAACACACACATGGTGACATGATGGAGACCGAGTTGAATTTATGTCTCTATTTCGCTCCATTTTCCCCAGACCAATGAATGCTTTTGGGATGTTTGTAGAATGATAGTTATACACAGACGTGCAATAACATGAGATCTTTCTCTGATTGGATTTATGACGAACGAGAGCTCTGATTGGCTGAACGAACACATCTGGTTAAATAGAAGTGGAACAAGATTTGTTCGTGCTATCATTGTTTCTCTTTGTTTTTAAGACCAGCAGGAACTGAGAAAAGAACCTCGAACATTGGGCAGCAACTCCTTTTAAATACGAACCAATCAGATAGCAGCAATGTATTACTGACAAACCCTGCTCAACTTTTGAAAACTTCCTTTCCAATTTTAATAAAATTAGGCAATAGCTCGTTATGTGTCAAACTTTTGAGAGACATAGTAGGAGGAAACAATGTCATGGCTACTGCCAGCTTTCGAAAAAAGGGATAAAGAAGCAAGTGGCTCTGTGGCGAGAATCGAAATTAAGTTTAAAAGAAACTACACCTTAAAAATTATACAATTTGATATGCTAAGAGTCTGATTAATTTGTATCCATACAATTGAAGATACGCCAACAAAAGAAACATTGCCGAGAACGTGGGGCTAATATCGTACGCAGAGCTCACTAGCACAGAACTATCCTAATTTGAGAAAATATTTGTTTATTAAAATCAGATCAAAGCCAACCACAATTTAAGGCAATGCTAAGCACTTTAATCTTAGACTGGTCAATTGGAGCAAAATCTGCGCGCCTGCCGTTATCTCGGTGAACACAAACTTGTCACGGGGGAAACTGAGCACTGCTTTGCCACTGTATATACTGCACACGGCGTGCTTCGAGTTCCAGCCAGTATTCAGTCAAACATTTTTCTCGGCGGGATGCTCATTATAGCTGTCTACATCGGTAATCGGAAATACCGCCGTAAGGATAGAGGATAACGACCCCTTGGGCAACAGCCTATCATTGCTATCATGCTATGAGTTATACCAAGGACGAGAAAGCGGTCGCACATTTCTTTTATTTTGATTGGTTATCCACAGAGTCACTGTAAAGATTCACATTATGACCATTTATGCCATAAAATTCCAATTACCTTCGGCGATATTATTGAGATACCAATGTTAGGGAATGGGAGACAGATTTCTTGCTGTTCGATCGATTATTGATGTGTGGATTCACAATAATTACCACATGGCACACAATTCTGACAGTGTTTTACACGAGGAGCTGTTGAGGTAATTTCAATAGGAGTTACAATGGGAATTGCGGGGTGCAGTTTTCTTGTGATTGGATTGAATATCGTTTCGCCTGAACGGATTCACCTACTTATTGCCATATGGCACATAAACCAGGTATAATGTACACATTATAATAGTATAATGTACACATTGACCAAAGGGCTTGAACTTGCAACAAATTTCAAACGATATCAATCAATCCAGATTATTTTTCAAGCAACATGAGAATTGGACTTGGACGGGAGTTGAACGTGCGACCTTCGGGACACTGCACGGGCGCTCTACCAACTGAGCTGATCATTCAGACCCACTAGTTGGCACTCTCCTAAACTGTCTTTGTTCACGGAGCGCTGGTTAAAAGCAATAAACCAGTTTATGCCATACGACCAGGCATCAAGCCTCAAGTTAGGATGCCAGAAAAAAAACCTGCAGTCCTAGGCCATGATAAGGGATCACGAAAAAGGGATGCAGCCTTTAATTTTACCTGAATGAGTTTACTGGAAAGTAACTCCTTACAAAATTGCAGTCGATCTGCCCATGGAGGTAGCCTCCATGATCTGCCTATGTTTTACCAGTGCCACGAAGAGCCATTCATTTTAGTTGGTAATCGATAGCCTATATCTCCACTCTGTAATTCCCTCAAGTTGAGTTACTCTACTCCCTACATCCATACCAATACCTCAAAAGTACAGCACGATCTGTATATGAACCAAAAAGGAGTTGTCTCGAAACTAGTCTAATCAATTAACTCCTTTGACGCGTATCAAAGGTCGTCAAGTATTTTCTGTCATGTGCACAATCCAGGCAGAAATATTTCCATTATTTCGTCACATGGATCAAGCTTCATGTGGCTGAGAAAATGTCTCTCGTCGTTCAGTTGGGAGACGTGTTCGGTCCTCGACCACAAACGAGAGTGACAATCGACTTCTCAGATTATTGACTTTAGGAGAAAGCACAAACAAACAAACCGCGGCAAAGGTGACATGGCGTCACTCGTTCGGCATGCTGACTGATCACCAGAGGTCAGAGGTCAAGTCATCAGAGAACAAATCTCTGGCATAATCATTGCAGGACTAGCTCGCACTAGACCCATGTGTGCAGGCTTGGTATACACAGATGTGTACTTGTCATATTTCAGGAACTTCAAGTGCTGCCGACTAAAATTACATAT